GGACAGCAGAGGGGCCTCCCGACGGGCCCACCGAGGGACAGCAGAGGGGCCTCCCGACGAGCCCACCGAGGGACAGCAGAGGATGGCCTCAGCTCCTACACTTTCCAGGCAGAAGATCCCAGATGTTGTCCCCATCTAAGAAAGTGTGGACTAATAAGCTGAGGTCGTGAACAAAAAATGGTTTGGAACTAACTGGCCAGGCAGTCCCTCTACAACCAAGGACGAAACTAAATTACTCAGACTGGATTAAAACACCGGGGCAACAGGGCCACAATGGAAAGCCATGCTGGGGCCCTGTTAACCCAACTGCCTGATTAAAGTCTGCCTGGGTGCCCTAACTCCGTCAGTTCTTTGTTTCTAGGAGGACCGCACATGCCCTCTGGGACTGCACTTCTGATGTGTGTACCCCAACAATCATCGTGACACTGTCTCACCCTGGAAGGCGTCGAGGCCAGTTTCCACTTACTGGCCAGAGCTGTGCTGTGCCTAATCGACGCCTTGTGCCAGGCCAAAAAGATTCATATAGAAACCTGAGAAGCCTCCTAATGGGCTGAGGAATCTTTTCCTGACTCAGAAACTGTCGAGACCACATTCAGTCCTGCAGGCAGGCCTGATCACCCCGCGTGGAGTGGTCTCATCAGGGCCCTGTCCGCTGCTGCCTCAGATTAATTACCTGGCTCCTGTCACAGCCCCTCAAGTCTGACCTGTTCGAGTCCATGATGGGGTAGCCTGCTCCTTGCAAAGGTCTTGAAAGATAAGGGGTGGAGTTGAGAAGTCTGGCTCCTGGTTAGCTGCCCTCCCCACACCGGACCTGGGACACCTGTGCCCCGCAGGCTCTGAAGAAGCTGCAGTCAAGGACTCAGGCCCCCTGGCCAGTCCTGATCTTGCGCACCCCAGGTCTCTTTATCTGAGGCCTTTGGCAGAGAGCTTTCTCAGATGCCTCTGCCAAGACCTCCTTATGGGGGGCAGAGGGGAACCCTGAAGACACTTTCCCCACTCTGACTCAGAACCCAGTACTCCTGGCCCTTCCCCCCATCCTGACCCCAGGGACCATACAACTGCCAGAGCCTCATTCCTCGTGTTCCCTGGGCAGTGAACAACCTCCACGTCCATGCTGATCTACCTGACCCTTGACCAGTGTGCTCCTCCATGGGGAACCGCAACAGGGGTCGGCATTCTTGATGGTACCATTGCAGCAAACAATTCAGGCTCCACTGTGACTTTCACTTTGGCTGTTGCTTTAATCAGCTACTCTGACACCTGGCAGCTCAGCTCTCTCTCAGCTCAGCTGAGCTCGACATAGCACTTGACATCAAAAAAGGGGAAGTCAATGTTGCCGCATACCAGTTTAAACAATAAAATTTTTAAAAGAAAGGAAAGAACAGAGGGAGGGAAGGAGAGAAGAGAGGTTAGCTGGGTGGATAGGAATTGCTCTGAAAGGTGCAGTCCTTTTCTTCAGCCAAGATAGTAAGGAAATAGAGGTTAGGACTAGAAGTAATAGGAACAAAAGGCAGATACCCTCATGCCCAGCTTTTGCCAACAGAAGCAAAAACATTCCATCTAAAATGTACCAAAATTCCAACTGACAGGATGGTTATGGGGGCCATTTGAAGGTTTTGTAATGATCAATCCAGGCCCACTTGTCCCCATCCTAACTAACTGTGTGTTCTGAGTTCTCCCTTAGCTTACACCGAGGAATTCGGTAAGAAGCAGCTCGAGGAAATATGTTCATTTATTGCAGGGCTTATGTATTACAGTGTTGCTATTTAGGACTTTGTCCACTATATCATCTACATAAATAGCTATCAAAATGTTTTCTTGATATGCAGTTGTCAGGAAATGTTTGCTTTGACTGAGCAACTGGTCTGCTTTCTGACAGAGGAACCCCTGTGACTATTCCTGTTTCCCTTTCTGATACGTGTTCTGGGGACACCTGGGGAAGCTCACAGCTCCTCTCCAACAGTGAAGGAGGACCTCATTTCTTATCTCTCTGGCTTCCACTTTAAGGCTCTTGCATGATTCTATAATACACTCGGTGCTTCTTTTGACATCCTTCCCAAGTTTCTATTTTCTCTGATTATGACTTAAATGTATTTAGACCTTTCCTGTTGGTTGCAGGCGTTCTCTAAGCCTCGTCACATCCACAGAAGAAAACTGCTGGAGGGTAAACAAATAACTCACCTGTGAGGTGATCATTTTCTGCTGCTCTTGGGAAATCTGTTCTGTGACTTCCCTCTGTCCTGAGGCTCTGGACAAAGGCCTCTGGCAAACGCTCTTTAAACTGAGAAGGCACCCCCAGTCCTGAGGCCTCTTCTTCCTTATCTCCCACGAGTTATCTTGTTCCCGAGAGCCATAGCCTGGAGATGCAGTGGGAATTGTATTTTAGATGATGTAACTAATTTGGGAACTTAAATCTTGGTTCTCTTCTGGGAACTCAGATGAGTTGTTTGCTAGACTCAAATCAGGCCTAGCGGGGGAGAAGCAGGATGGAATGTCAGCTGCGGGCACGTCTCCGTTGAGCCTGACTCTATCTGGGCCAGCTCTGCTCCCACAGTGCACTCTGCAGCCCTGGTCTCCACCTGTAACTGCCAGACTGAAGCCACTCGCCTCACTGGTTCAACCACACACTCCCAGGGGAGCACCACCACACCACACTGCTCTGCAGACACATCACCAAAGACTGGAAATACAGTCCTGGCTCACTCACTCTGCAGCAACATTTCCTGGGGGCACTTAAATGAAATTACTTGCTATAGAGTAAAATGCAACTCATTTCTATGCAGGATGGTTAAGAGAAAAACGCTTTTAGATCAAGATGGTCAAGTAGCCTGGGGTGCTGGCTCTCTACTCCAAAACCAGCCCTGGAGCAAGAGGAAAGCACAGATCAGAGGAACTACAGAAACAGCACCAAGAAGAGGAGCAGACGCTGCGGGAGACTGAGGCTGTGGTGAAGCTGAGTGCTCGCAGGCGGGTTTGCCACGAGCGGGGCGGCCACAGCCTAGAGCTTATGGCAGGAGAAGAGAGGCCCAAGGAAACCTTTCATGTTGCTTCTTCCTCAGCTCAGGTTGGGAGGAATACTGCCCGCCCCTCCCCTCAGAATCAGCAGGAACAGCCCAGGCCACCGGTTCCCAAGGGGAAACCGAGGCAGATCTAAATCTCTGCTGAGTTAAGGAATCACGGACATGGCAAGGGCTGCCTTTGGGCATTTACTCACCTCCCACCTCCCCTCTGCACCCCAAGGACACTGCTGCACAGCCTGCTTCCTTCTGAGGGCCTCTGATCCCTGACCGGAGGAGCTGCTTGGAGGGGTGGTGGGACAGGGGGCTGTCCCAGTGGGTCTGTCCATAAGGGCCACACTGTTGGCCCTGGGGCCCCTTCCCTCCCCTTTGCTTCAAAGTCCTGGCCTCAGCCCTCCCCGGATGCAAATTACCAGAGTGTGCAGGATAGTATCCAACACCTTTAGGTGAATATGAGCTCTGAGGCCCGCAGGGCAAATGCAAATTAAAAATAAGAAAAAAACATTAATTCTCTCTCAGGCAAAAAGGGGAAAGAGACTCCCCTGACCCCTATTCAAAGAGCATTTACTTTAGAAAACCTATAACTGCAAATTATTTCTCTGCCCTTTGAGATGTATATAAATCTTTTCTAAAGCTAAATAAGCCTTATCCAGTTTAACAACCCAAGAATGTCTTTCTTAAGGACCTGGGAGCGCTTTGAAATCACCAGAAGACGTGCCCCCTTCTCCCAGTCTGTGGGAGGGCAGAGCCCAACCAGCCAGCCTTGGGCACCTGACTCCAAGTTGTAAAACTACCTCTGTCATAAAGATATGAGGAGTCTATTTTTCCTTTGGATAAAGGCAATCAGACACCACAGATGGCCACCCTGATCTCCAGGTCAATTCAGGATGAACCAAGTGTGACACGTGATCATTTATCTTGAGAACATGTGTGTAATGGGTTGCGTCTGCCTGGCTATAGAGCAGGGTGAGATTTCTTCCTGTCTTTACAATCTCTTTAGTGGATCGCCTGCAATGCTCATCACATTCTGGTTTCATTTTATTCAATAATAAAACTATTTTTCTTTCTCTTCTACTTTTGCAGAGAGGTTTTCTGGGTTGGCAGATTTTGGTTTTAGTTATTTCCCCAACAAGCCATATAACCAGATAACTGAGTACAACCACTATTTTAAAAACTTCTTAAAGGATCACAAAATGCATAGCAGATACAGTCTTAGGCAGAATTACTACACGAGATGGACCAAGATTTAAGATAAGCAAAAAATAAACAAAAAATACTACGTCCTGATGCATACAAATACACTTTAAATTTCTTCATAGCTCATGATCAGGTCACTTACATTCAGTTGGATATGGAATCAGAGCAAAGGACTTCACAGGCACGGGGTCACACCGGGGTGTTATTTCCTTCATAAGAATACACCTGAAAAGAAATGTCTAAAAAACACAGTACCCAGTAAACATGGGGACCGGAGGGACAAATTCCACCTTTCATAGCAACCCCGCCAATCGAGATTTGTCTGTTGCTTGTGGTCTCCCCCTGTGGTCCGGGAACGGTTGCTGAGCACCTCCTAAGTTCCTGGTGCTCCGGGCTCTCTCCACATGCTGATAGGCTATTAGGAAGACCAAAAATGGTGGACAGGTCAGTGGGCACCATTCCAGAACATAAAGTGAGCAAGGAGAGAATGTGATACCTGCGAAGACTTAGAGCAAGAGCTCTCTGTTTGGAGGCTCTGTTCTATCAAACAACGGGGGAGAGTGCGGTGCCTTCAATGTCCCGCTGGATACAGAGAAAGACAGATGGAAGTCTCCACTCATCTCCCACAAATGAGGGAACACAGTTATACCTGGGTGTCAGCAAACTGCCAGGTTCTGCCCCAGGGCAGCTAATAAGAGTGCAGCCAGGACAGCAGCTCCTTGAAGGCAGTTACTACCCACCCCAGAGTTGGGTCCAGTCTGAAAACAGACCACACAAGCCTGCTCTCATTAGCACACGCTCAGCAGCCCTGCACTGCTCAGTCAGCAAAGCCCATGCCCTGTGCAGACGGCAAGCAGGAAGCAGGAAGGAAACACCTGAACACTGCTTAGCGTTGACCTGACCATGTGGTCAGCTCCTGCCATCAACTCCTGAGTGCCTTAACTGTCTCCCTCTCTGTCATAAAGAGAATCGAGAGAGAGCCAGCCTGGAAGGCCTAGTGGTTAAGGTTCGGCATGCTCCGCTTTGGCGGCCAGGGTTTGTTTCCCACTGGCGGCGGCTCACATAGAAGAACTAGAAGGACTTACAACTAGAATATACAACTATGCACTGGGGCTTTGGGGAGGAAAAAAAAAAAAAGGAAAAAAGAGGAAGATTGGCAACAGATGTTAGCTCAGGGTGAATCCTTCCCTACCAAAAAAAAAAAAATGTGAAGTGAGGGAAGACTCAGGCCAGGGAGGGAAGACTGGTCACAATATCAACAAGGTAATGAGGATCTTGTGGGGCAGTCAAGAACCAAGTCTGGGGGCTGGCCCTGTGGCCTGGTGGTTAAGTTTGGCATGTTCTGCTTTGGCGGCCTGGGTTTGTGAGTTCAGATCCTGGGCGCAGACCTACACCACTCGTCAGCCATGCTGTGGTGGCAACCCACATACAAAATAGAGGAAGACTGGCACAGACATTAGCTCAGGACTAATCTTCCTCAAGCAAAAAAAAAAGAGAAAGATTGGCAGCAGATGTTACCTCAGGGTGAATCTTCCTCAGCAAAAAAAAAAAAAGAAACCCACAGTTTTGAAAGATAGGCTGGATTTTGAATTTTGACCCAAAATAGTGGTAGAGGGCAAAGCAAGGGCATCCAGGGCAGGAATAATTCCTAGGAGTGGGAAGGGAGACAAGTGACACAGTTCTGCTACTTAGGGGTGCAGACATAAACGTCAGATTCCCCGAGTCAAAGTGGACTCTTTTTAGTCCAGTGTGAAGAGTTGCTGGGGAGGAAAAATTTCTCCTCTACCCTTCTAGGCTCTTCTGGCTGGTCTAAGAATTAAATTGACATGAGACAAGCTAACAAGAGAAAAACTAACAGAAGTTTAATAATATGCATACCTCCCATATACATGGGAGAGGCCCAAGAAAACTGAGTCACTCCCAGAAACAGCCAAAACCACCACCTTAAATACCATCTTCAGCTAAAGACAAAGATGTTGAGGGTGCGAGGAGTCAGTTACAGGAGGTTTTCAGGCAAAGCACAGTAAACAAGGCTATGGTTGTTATGCAGACTTAAGACTCTGCCTTCGGGGCCGGCCCTGTGGCGTAGCAGTTAAGTGCACACGCTCCGCTACTGGCTGGGTTCAGATCCCAGGCGCGCACTGATGCACTGCTTGTCAGGCCATGCTGTGGCGGTGTCCCATATAAAGTGGAGGAAGATGGGCACAGATGTTATCCCAAGGCCAGTCTTCCTCAGCAAAAAGAGGAGGATTGGCAACAGATGTTAGCTCAGGGCTGATCTTCCTCACACACACACACAAAAAAGACTCCGCCTTCTCTGTTGATAAGCGTCTCTAGAGACTGAGTCAGCCCCTCTTCCTGGTACTGAGAGGGAGACATCCTTACACGGGGAGATTTCCCCTATAAATGTCAATATCTCTTACACAAGGGTAACTTCTATTCAGTTTTCAGAGCTTCTCCCATGTCTGCTGTTTCTTAAAATAACCAGCCTAAAATAATCCTTATGCCAAAGAGACATATTTTGGGGTGACAAATTCTGCTCCCCTGAGTGCAGGGCTTGAGGGCAGATCTCTCAAGAAAAAACGTCCTGGGAGAGCAGAAAGCAACATCCCAAGGAAAAGCACCTCTTCCTGAGATGCCTGGGGAGCTCTTCCAGGCTCCTGGGCACAGGAAGGGGTCTCAGAGTCTAGGAAGCCCTGAGAGGACCCTGCTTGAAAAGAGACCCCAGAGTCATCGCTCTCCAAACCTGGGGTCCCTGAGATCAAGGCCCACTGGCCCTGGATGCTTCTGTTTAGTTTGGACCCCTTCCGGGTTGATGCACAGGAGATCTTCTTCAGCTGTCTCCTCTGGAAAAGGGAATGTGCCAACCGTCGCAACATCCACAGCAGTCGCCCCGGCTTCCTCCTTCAGGATCCCAACACACTCCCGAACTCTGCTCTCACATTCACATCAAGTCTCACACACACACATGTATACATTCACGCACTCACACCATTGTGTACTGGTTTAATATGACTTCAAATCCACTTGTTTATGACTTCAGTTGTTTTTATCCACTCATTTATGACAAAGACAAAAAAAAAGTTGTTTTGATGTAAGAATGAAGTAAGTTGTATCAGGATGTCATCATCTCATCTGTTGTTGTTGATGAGAACTCAGCAGCCCAGCTGCTGAGGGGCCCCACTGGGGGCTGGTCAGTAGGAACACATGGAGAAGCAACTATGACAAGGGGACATCCAGACTACAGACACTGAGAGTTACTGAGATTATTGGAGAGTTTCGGTCTGGGCCAGGCACTCGCTGCTGAGCTAA